CCCCCCCAATCTGTAACTAGAACTACAAATTAAACTTGGGAGAAAAAACTATGTTAACCTGGAGAGCTGCTTAAATATATATTTGTGACACTTTAGCATATAAGTAAAATGGTATAGGTAAAGAACCAAGTCCTGGTTTTAAATGAGAAAAAAAAAACATTATTTAAATAGTGATTAAGTAATTTTTACATGTTCTTGCTGGACAGCAAACACAATTGCTAAAATTTGCTTTGATAGAAATGAATGTTGAAGTTCTAAGGGCACCCTCCACATTCAACTGACCATTACTTATTCTCATGTGGATGCCTCTTTCAGCCTCCAGCAGAACCCAGAGACACACACGATACATCTGTCACAGTCAGTACTGATACTTAAAGCTCAGTTTGGTGCAAGAACGTTTCTCACATCTCTGCTGCTCCCATTAACATTCTCAGTGTTTTCTGGATTCCAGCATATTCAGGTAAATCTTGGAGGATATATGTGAATTCTTCCAGAAAACTTCAAGAGTTTGCTACACATTTAACCAGCCCAACTGTGGAAACAAGTTCTTTATCTCCATGGCAGATCCAAAAAATTTGTATGTCCTCTCTCATCATCAGAAACAGTCTTTTTTTCAACTATAACTATGCCTTGCATAATTAGCCAAGATTAAGGAAGACTGAGGACGGGAGAATCAATTATTTCTCTCTGTTTCATGTTGTTAAAGATGACAAATTCAGGTCTGACAATCACCCAACACTTTTGTTTTCTGAATACAAGCCTTTGGGAAGTGAAGTGGTTACAATCAGCAGAGAGGCAAAACACATACATACCTTTTATTGTGAGTGGACAGAATCGCCTAAGACATGTCAGTATATATGTCAAATAATGAAAGCCAGCAGAAAGGTACCAAAAGGTCAGTTAGAAAAACAAAAAACATACGATAAATTAAATAGGCTGTAAGCAAATATCCAGTGAGTAAGCCACAAAGATTGGGCAACAATGACTTTCAACACTCAAACCTGAGCCAGTAGGTTCCCAAGACTTAGTCCTTGATCACATAATATACCTGTAATACTTGGTGACAAGATCTGCAGACAAACCGCCACACACAAAATCTCCTTGAGATTAAAAAATAATATTAATTTTCAAACGGTGGTGCTCAGCAGGACCTGATCAACAACAAGGAAAGCTAGCACAAATGTGTTAGTTTCAAGTTTTATTTTCCATGTTGGTGAAACACATAGCCTCTTCTCAAGAGGCAGCATCTGTAGAGCTGTTACAAACACATTTTGTACTCTAACACACCACAGATTTGGAAAAAGAACAAATAAAGCACAGGTTTCACACTGCACTTGGGCATACTGAGTCTTAAGTTACAGATAATTTAGAAATCTGATTTTACATATACATCGCATTGGCCATTGCTTAGCCTTCATGCACAATTTAATGTTATTTTTCTTACAGTCAACACTGGTTTTGGAAACTTTCTTGCTGTGAATGGTATCTTTTCCACTTTAAATCACTTAAATGATATTTACATAAGTGTGCAAATTGCTTTGAAAGATAGAAACAAACACTAACACATAATATACAAACAGCTTCTTCTATAGTTAAACATTTACTAAAAGGCAGTTAACATTCCTATCACATTTTCATTACCTAAAATAGGAGAATAAGTTATATAAAATAGATCATCTTATTTTCAGACACTTCCATTTCTGCAGATTTGGTCTGTGCATCATCACTGCAATCAAAAATTAAGATTCTACTCCTAAGATTCAGAGAAGCCCCTTTCAATTCAATGGCAGCTTAACATGTTTAGTACAACTTAATTTTGTCCCAGATTTTTCACAGTTGGCACAAGAAGAGAAAAAAGCTGGGGGAGTGGAAAAAGAGTCTTGCACATCTATTTTATTATTTTGGCAATATGAAAAGTATGCTCTAAGAATCTAATGCATAAATTTCAATTTTCTTTTAAGGGCCTGTTAGTGTTACAAGCACAGTTTAAATAGAGTCTGCAAGTTCTTTCACAGAAGCACACAAGGCTCCCAATTTTTCTTCTTACACGTGCCATCTCAGATATACACAAATGTCCACACACATAAAAAAAGTAGATTCCTCGGGACCACTCAAAAAAACTGATTTTAGAATTAGAAGCAGCAGGTAAAGCTTGAAAAACAAAATTACTTAGTGTTCCCACTGTTCCTACATGTGTTTGTTTGGTTTTTTTTTCTACTCATGATAAAGACTCCCCATAAAAAGTGCATGGTCACCTTCGTGAACAAATGCAGAAGGCAGAAGTTGGGTAAACTGGAGTGAGTTCCTCCAATGGTGAAAACAAAGAGTTACAGGAAGGTGCTCAAAACCATCTTACATGTATACTTGTAATCAGAGAAAAGCAACTCGGTTCCCAAAATTTAATTTAAACTATTTTATAGAAGAGCAAAAACTTCTATATACATCAGTAATAACAAAGGGAAATTTCCTGTCAGACAGTAAAGAACTACAGGTGTAGTCTCAAATAGCTTTAAAATACAAGCTGATTATTACATAATACAAAGAGACAAAACTGCTTTTGAACACCAATTGAGTAATGTGACTTTTACAGTAGCCTTGCCTGCAAATCGTGCTGTAGCTTGTGCACCCATCACAATGCTACTGAGTACTACCCACCCCAAGGAAAGTGATTATTAATTCTCTAGAAGTTTACCTTCATTACAGTTATGTCTGACACACTGATGTCAGGCACCACATATACATCAGATATATGTTTGATACTTTTGAAGATATCCAATTCCCTGATATGTCAGAAACAGTACCAAAACTTAACACCACGCTTTTGATCTACTGTTTATAGACACGTATCACACACAAATCCCCACTGGATTCCAAATGATCTCATCTTAGTGCACATCTTGATTAGGGTCTTCTGAAGAAACAGACCACGGGTACAACTGTTGGTGTTGTCAACTTTTAAGCATAAAACAGTCAAACGAATTTAAGACATTACACAAGCTTGCAAAACACATGACGACTTGAAACCAAATAAAAATAGAGAAGATGCATTACAATTCGGTTACTTTGGATTCTGAGCTACTTTGAAAAATGTGGTTTGTAACAGAGGGCTGTTCTATGTTTTGAAAATATGAAAGAATGAAATGTCTTCATAATTGATTAGTAAATAAACACCTATAACACTCATGAACTCAAACATATTAAAACACTCCAGCTAAGTTTTTGTTAAACATTGTCTTCAGAGCTTTATATTCAATGCACATTTATCTGCTATCTGCAGGTTTTTTTGGTTATAGCATGTTTCAGAAACACCGCTAAGAAAGGTTGTCCACTCCTCCTATTCCCAAGGTGTGCATTACAAACACTATGCACACACTAATTTTCCAAAGAATTTAGGTCAACAAAGTTCTTAAGATGAAAGACGTGTGTACTTTTAAGCTTGCAAGACAGCTTCAAACAGGTGACTTAGTATTTTCCACACTTGCATGGATATTGCTTTCAGAGAATAAGGTATTAAAATAATATTCTGCAGTGGAGTGGAAACATTGAAAATAAACTGAATGCTCCCCCTAGTGCTTATACTAGTGAAAAATCCTGCCTGGCACAGTCTGCCTTAAATGGTGTTAAACAGGAGACAAAACAAACAGATGAATGATGGTATTATTTAACTCTGAAAACAATCACAAACATCATTGGGACCAAAAAGTGCCAGCTGTTGAAATCCAACATTTAAACTTCTGTACCACTCTCCCTACTCCAGTGCTTCTGGTGTTTTGGTTTCTTTTAAACTGTGCTTTTAGTAAAAATTTATTTCCAATTTTTCCTATTAACTGAAGGTAGGGCCCTGACAAAGCTCCCACCAGTTAGAAAACTAAGTCTAAAGATATTTAAAGATGATAGGAACAATCATGGTTTTTCTCCTGTAACCTACCCAGAAGCTGCCAAGTTAATATTAGCATTCCCATATCACAATTGCAATAAAGCTCTGGTAAATCTGGTACCTTTGGGTATGTTCAACATCACAAATAAGTCAGGTATTTAAGACAATCTATGGCTGTAGCTAGCACAGTCCACCAGAATACTCATCCTCTTCCTCATCAGCATGAGAACCCACTGCGGCTGGTCCTCTTGCTTTGTCTTGTGCAGCGTTTGGCGATTTCTTCTTCATCCCACCTCCCGGGACCACCAAGGTAAGACCAAGCTTGGCATACTGACAATAACAAGGCAAGTTTAATTTCTATACTATCACAGAAGTAAAATCTTCTTGAATTACAGTGCACAGAATTGACTGACGCTCACAATAAACAAGCAGGTAACATTCAGTATAGAATAGAAAACAGATTGATGCTGCTTTCAGAGTGTATTTTTCCAGTTTAGAATAAGCCTAACACCGGTTCATTTTTATTATCTCAAACACACTGAGAATTTGATGCAAGATCTGTATTGATGCTGCTTATTTTAGAATAATTTTGGTCACATTCTACAGCTTCTGTGGTTCAAGTTTTACATAAACAATTTTTCCATATGCAGCTCTGCATACAGTATCCAGTAACAGTTCATGTAAAAGTCTTACAACTGTTTTTTGGTAAGACCTTAATTTTTACTATTCAGCATAGTAACAAAGTAAAATTAGTCAATACCGTTACAAAACTTGGCGTGGATGGATGTCTTCTTTACTTCATACCTTTCCTATCCTTATACTTCCTACAATTTACAAGTACAATTGAAAAAAAAAGAGGGGGGGGGGGGGGG